CTATTACTAAAAGGTTTGAATTTTTTGTCTCGCTTCTTAGTTATGGAATTGAGGAATACTTTTTATGGTCTAAAAATGTGATCTTTCATGTTTGGGAGCATGATTATGTGCTTCTGATTGAAACTCAATGAATTTCTATTGTGTCAATTATTTTGTCATCGGAAATCCTCCAAAGTTTTGTGCTTTACCAGAAAGTAGGCTTGTTTCTTTGCTTAATCAGTACTGATTTTATATTGTTTTTTTTTTTCTTTTTCTTGGGTTTAGTGCCTCTTTGGAACTTGAAATTTGTAGGAAAATTTTTTGAAAGTTTTACGCAAGGACAAATATACGGAGGATGAATTCCGAAGGATGAATTACGTACTTCAATAAGAATTTAAAGGTCATGTGTGGTTGTCTCCTACTGTAATTGTTGCTATATCTGTATCTGCATTAACAAAATTAAACATACTTACGGATGGGTAGATTATTATGAAAGTAACTGCTTCTTAGGCCGGGGGAGAGGTTTTTTTTTTTTTTTTTTTTTTTTCTGGGTAAAGTGAGAATCCCCTTTTAGACAGTCAGCTAGCTTTTGTCCTTGGTGGTTTCTTCAATAATGCATGGTTTGCCTTTTGTTTCTCGGAGCATGCTGCAAGTAACTTTTACTTTGCTTACGGTCAAGTGATGGTTATCTGAATGTTATGTATCTTTTCAGATTTGGAGTTGTGGTCAAATGGTCACTGACCAACATAAGGTCTTTGATCTCCTTTTCTTTTTAGCTTTTGTGGTCAGTTCTCCCTCATTGGTGGTTCAAGAGACTACTAGAGGATTTCGTAATTCAGATGGGTTCCCATTAGGATAAGCCAGTCATTGATAGGAATTTTTCTTTTCTAATGGGAGGTCAAGGTTAACCAAAATATGTATTGCTCCTTTCCTGACATAATACCTTTCGATTTAGTCTAGAGAAGATGGGCGGTCTACAGTGGACTAAAATTGTTCATCAACACCAAGGATGGAGGCTTATCTCATCTATCTGGTTGCATGCTGGCATTATTCATCTCGTTTCAAATGTGTTGTGCATTGCACTTGTTGGCATTCGGCTGGAGCAGCAGTGTGGCTTTGGTATGTCATGCTCCGACCTGTTTCTTCAGTTAGTCTAAATTCTGCTACCTTCCTCCTATGCATGAATTTAAGGGAACAAGATGCAGCTTTAGATATGGTTCATTGCTTGTGTTTAATTTAATAGTTCTTTTTTCAAGAAGACATTTTTCAATCTGTTTTCATGCTAACATTTATTTAAATTTTGATTTGGCAGTGAGGATTGGAGCTATCTACTTGTTGTCAGGATTTGGAGGGAGCATACTTTCCTCCTTATTTATTCAAAATAGCATTTCTGTTGGTGCTTCTGGTGCTCTTTTTGGACTTCTTGGTGCTATGCTTTCGGAACTAATCACAAACTGGAATATTTACACGCATAAGGTGGGTATGAGTTTTTCTCTTGCATGTTAGGTTGTTGAACATGCTATCAGGCCACTATTATTGCCAACTTTCCAAATACTGGTTGTTTGTGCTGTTATGTATGGGAACATTTGAAAGGCTTTGCAATTGGGACGGTTTACTGATGATATGACACTCTTTTTATCCTTCTAATTTCAGCCTTTTTTTCCACCCTTTCAATATCTAGGTTGCGGCGCTGTTGACCATATTGGTGATTGTTATCATTAATCTAGCTGTTGGGATTTTGCCGCATGTTGACAATTTTGCTCATATTGGTGGATTCTTGACTGGGTTTCTCCTTGGTTTTGTCCTGCTGCCTCGTCCTCAGCTTGGTTGGGTAGAGCGGCATAATATACCGGCTGATCTTCGTGTTAAATCCAAATACAAGGCTTACCAATACGTGCTGTGGTTGGTTTCTCTGGTTTTGCTGATTGCAGGGTGAGTCTGCTCGTCAAATGAATTGTTGTGAATCTTACCGGTGTTGTTTATGTTCTTTAATTCATTGTTTAGCTACTAGAGAGAACAAATTTCTGGGGTCAAGTATGCTCTCTGTATGTATTATGTGTGAGCTGCCTTTATTTTTCTGCTGGGTACATTTGGTTAGGCTGTTTGGCTGTACATTGAAATTATTGTCCATGGGTAGCAGGTTACCTTTCTTCAAGTATTGGAGTTCACACATTTTGATTCAGTGCAATGACATTCTAAATTCTATTTGGTTGATGCTTGCAGGTTGACTGTCGGACTTGTAATGCTATTTCGAGGAAAGAATGGATATGAACATTGTCATTGGTGTCGCTACCTGACTTGCGTTCCCACCTCTAAATGGAAGTGTGATGGGGAGTAATCAGCTTCGAGAATTTGGGTTTCTTATTTGGTCTTCTAAATTAGAATTTGTCAGGTGTATATGATAGCTTGGTAAATAATTTGTAGGCAGTAGACTCGCCACTTTCTTTGTGGTACCCTTTACAGCTTCAAACTTTTTTCGTCTGGGCTATTATACGAATCGAGGTTTTGTATTTTTTTTTTTTAAATTTTAATATTGTTGTGCACATGCACGCAATAAAAGTCGATTCTCGTTATTGTTGCATGACGTTCATGTTCGAGATGAATTCATTGCCTATTTTTTTGACAGTACTCTTCATAGCTTACAACGTTTACCTAAAACTCCCAATCGTTGTTTGGCATCAGCAGCCACCAAAGTTACAGCCTTTTTCATGGACGATGATGCCGGCTGTTTATGGTAGTGACTGCCAGTCATGCAGCCTTGATGAGAGAGGCACACTTTTAACATGGCCAACCCAACTCAGCCATGCTGGAATTACTACTTACTTTATAAGACGCGCCATGCAATAGTGGAGGGGAGGAAATTTTCAAGAACAACAGGGGCGGGGAAGGGAGGCAACAGGGTGAAGATGGTCTCAGTGATGACTATAGTGGTCATCATATCGTTTGTACGTTCTGCAGTTGTGGGAGAGGCTGTAGATTGCAGCACCGTGACAGCTCTTCTATCTGCTTGTTCCAGCTTTATCATAAATGGTGCCCCGGATCCACTTCCTCTATCTCCATGCTGTGTTGCCATCACCACCCTCAATAATCTTGGAACCGACTCTTCCCAGAGTCGCCAGGTTGTGTGTAAATGCTTAATGGAGCTCATTACCAATTACAATCAAAACGCCACTGCTATTGCTACTCTTCCTGGCTTCTGTGGTGTTTCTCTTGGCTTCACCATTGATCCCAACACCGACTGTGAATAGTAACTCTCTCTCTCTCCCGTCAGCTTCTACAGTAGCATCCATTTCTCAGGAATCCTAATACTACTTACTTTGCCTATTATTTATTGCAGCATCTCATGATCAGGTTGATTTTTTGATGGCAAGAAATTTTGTCTAAATCAGTAATCATATGACGCGAGAAGCTGGAGCTTGGATGAGTTGCATATTACAATCCAGAAGTAGATGCAAATAAAGTACTACTGTTTTCTTTTTCTTTCGCTTTTTATATCGAAGAAGACATGGGGTGTGAATAAGACCTATGCTACTAGCCGTGATTTTAGTACGATTCGCTTCTTTCGACGACCGTCTTCTGCGAAGCGGGAACGGAGTGTGGCAGCCCCGTGACGCTAATTTCAGGGCTAATACGCTATGTTCTAAGGTGATTGGACAAAACCAATTGCCAGGAAAAGCCTGAATTTCGACGACGGTACGATTCGACATTTAACTAATGACCATACGCACGAGCTGTATATTTCTGTTGGATTTACTTTAACCCCGCATTAAGAGTGAGTTAAGAGCGGGTTGGAAAGAAAAGAATTTTTTTTTTTCTGACTTGTCCATTTCATTTCTATGTTTAACGTAGTTCATTCAAATAAGAGAGAGTTCTTTCCTCTGAAACGTGCATTCTGACTTTTTTCCCCCCCCTGATATCCCGTTCATCAGAAAAATCTCTGGACAACTTTTTCTAATTTCACCCTAGAATGTCTAAACAGTAGCATGTCAAATTTCTAGTCATAAATTTATGTACTGCATCACCATTTCTTAGGCTATTTGTGAGCTCAATTAACATTTGAACGTAATTTTTCATAATAATTGTTTAAAATAAAAAATAATAACACATATTATGTCAAAAAATAAATTTGTGTCCCGCATATTCTATTCTAACATTTAAATATTTTGATTATACTAAACAGTGAACATTCAATTCCAACTTGTGTATCAAACTTTGGAACAAAATAATTTTCTTTCCTACTATTCGCGGTAGAAATATTAATAATCATTTTGGGTGAAGAAACCTTTCCATTTTGGGTATTTCTGTGTACCAAACGAGAGTAGCGTTGGTTCAAGTGGGTAATGATTGATTTCTCAAAGTAATGCAGGCACGTGTCTACCAGCCACCTTTTCCACGGGAAAAGCTAGCAAAGACATAAAATTTTTATCTTTTCACTTTCACTGAAACATCCAAATGTATATTATTATTGCCTCCTTGAATTCGTGCAACGAAATTGAAGAGGACGAAAGAGCATGATTTTGGCGAAACAAGTAAACTTGATAACCTGCAACTGTATGTTATTTCTCGCGTAGCATCCATTCAGGTAAATCACCGATATTACCCAAAAAAAGGCAGACCATGCGAGTAGGAAAGCAGATGGCTTGTCAAGGTTTATTCTCTTTTCGACAAGTAGGCTTGGTCTTGTATGGCCCGTGACTCAATTCTGGAAATTGAAGGCAAGCATGCTTGCTTCTTTCCTAATGCTATGAATTTACCAAAGTCTTCAATCGCAGAAGACCACAAGGGACCGGAAGATAATTTCCACCTATAAAGCAGACCATGCATGTCTTTCTCAGCGCCGGACTGTTACCTGCGGCCGACAACAACTCATCGTAATTCACAACAGTACGACTTTTGTTTTGGGTAAAGTGTAATCCTTTAGTGAAGAGGTTGACCATTATCTCTTCAACTGGCATCATACAATCCAATAATCCGCTCGAATTCTGCTTTAATATAAAAGGAGAGCCTCAAGGCAAGACATGCATTCAATCAACCGCAAAGTGATAGCTTATTCTCAATGTGATGCATCAACATCATAATGCAATGTGAAGAGTTCTAAACCAATCAACTTAGCAGCATCTATGCAGTTAGCTCTGCTAAACACACACAAGCCTCGTGTTCCTTCAATCTTTTTATGTTTTTGACATGTTTACGAGCAACAGGCGTCTTATATTACAAACCAACCATCCAACAAGGCAACAGCAAACTACAATTTCACACTGCCTTGGATGCAGGTCTAGTTATGACCACACCAGTGTCCTCGTGCGGAGTTTGATTAAAAACCATTTGCATGATAGAATACAACCGTCATCAGATGCCCAACGGCATGGCATTATCACAGTCGAGATAAAATAGCAGGTATTAGCGCCTACTACGATAAGTAGCACTGAAGTCCACATTATCACCGTGGACTCGCATCCCTACTCTATCCAAACCAGAGCTATGGTAGGCTTTGCTCCTGAGATTAGAGTGTGGGGTACCTCTCTCAGAAACGGTTTCTGCATCCCAAAGACTGGGAACAAACTTCCAATTCGCCCCAAGTCTCTCATACTGTGTCCTTTGTCTGGGGGCACTTTGTGACCTGACTTTAGCAAGAGATGACTCCGTATTAGCCATGTAACTGGGGTGACTCAAGTAGTCACCGTACACGCTCCTAGAACACTCGCTCCTTGAGGGAGTAAAGGGACCTCTTCTGCTGCTAGTGCCAGGTCTAGAAGATGCAGAGTGTAGACATGGGCTGTTATCAGCAGTCCATGCAAGTACGTGTTCCTCTTGTGGATGGAATTTTAGTGACCTTAAATTTGGAACTTCCCCAGAAGATACACTTGGATTTGGTTTCTCAAGCTTTGTTGCAAGTCCGGATATGGGATCAAATGTTGTAACGCTCTGCCCATTGTCATTCCACGCCCGAAAACCCTGTGAAGCCTGGAAGATCTTCTCACTTTGTCTTGGGTTATGATGTGGCTTCCAAGTGTCTATTTCAAGTATCTTGATGCTTTTCTCGTCGTCACGGGACACATTGTTTAAGCAGGAACCATTCTGGTTGTTCCATGTACATTCTTCCATCCAGCGATCTAACCAACTGGAACCCAAATGCAATCCCTCAACTTTGATACTGTTGCTGATGTTTGGTTTTGAAACCCATCTCTGCATTCATGGCAAAGCAGAAGCTATCTATAAGACGCACAACATTGCACTCTGGAGAAATGAGAATTTTTTGAAAGCAGCAAAGATTTCTCCTCTTAATTTTCTCTCTCATATTTGTTTTTGGTTCTTTTCTATCTCTTAATTTCTCCTTTTTCTCTTTCATGAAAATATTACATGCGTGACTGCACCAGATCATAAAATACTAGATGCATGACTGCACAAGATAATAAATCAGCTGGTCAATTTACCTTCAGCTCTGGTCCTTCGTGTTTGGTACTGTAAGAACGCTGTGGAATGTCATGCTTTTTGGGTGCTGGAGTATCCTGAAGGTGAATACTAGACATATGAGAAGTTTTCGTTGATCATAAAACCAAACCAACAGGCATCCTAGTGACCCATAAATAACTTATCACTAATTATGATAGATACCACTAATGGGAGGTTAGTTAAATTGAGCTAATGTAAACATTAAACTTGCACATGAATGGAATTCTTGATTCTTTAATTTAAGTTCATTATCCACTGCCTGCTGACACCAGTTTCCATAATTTTCCCCCCTTTTGTAAATAGTTTCAATAATGTTTATAAGATTATGAGTAATGAAAACCTCTTACATGTCCTATAGGCTACTATCATAACACCAACAGGGATTAAAAGTTCTACGCTACTCCATGAATCAAAACGAGCGCCACGTCTCAAATTTTGACAAGGAAGAAACCTTGAGTTTTTTTTGCTTTTTTTAATAATTTGAGATTCTAAAAGCTTTACTATTACTTAACCTTGACATTGATGGTTTCAATGCCGGTCCTAATGCGAACTAATCATCATAAATAAAGATGCAAACTGAATGGATTTGGAAACACTTTCCTGAAATATGAAAATGGTTGTAGATAGTTCAGCGTTACATGTCATCAATTTGTTGGCCAAAAAAAAAAAGAAGCAATTTTCAATAGGCAAGTAGCTCCGTACAAGTAACATATTAAGCAAGTCGTTAGCTTCCTTCTGCATCTAGAAAAGGAGATTTATAGCTTAGTGAAAGTGAAGTGAAGTTGTGCTTACAGCATGGCAATGCTGGGAGGCCTTCATGTGAGCATGGGAGGAGTCCGAAGTGTTAGCCCTAGTAGCAGATGCTCGAGCTTGTATTCGAGCCATTGCCTGCATTCGGCGGAGCATGTCTGCACTTTGCTTTCTGACGATGTGACCTCTGACTAGAGCTTGAAGTTTTACCAATCCCTTAAGGGCCCTTAGTGCTCTCCTAGCCTATAAGACAGTCATCAGTACTTACTCAACAGTAATCAACTTACTAATGCATTAATTTACTGATGCAAATGCGCATCAGCACCATAACGGCAGATACAATACATAAAACGGACATGCATTAAGGCAAAGTTTGGCCTGTGGAAATCTAAATGGAGAATCAAAAGATTTGTGAGGCTCAACCATTAAGGAACTCAATGTCTACCTTATTGTTTTATATGCTAAGACCAATAAGGCAGAACAATTGTACCTAGCAGCATTCTGCCAATATAAATAAGCAGCAAATTAAAAAACATTGCATTCAAAGTTCTACTGCATGCGGATATGAATCAAATAATCAAATACTACATTGTACCTTTCCATTAAAGCACTTTTCAAATTACAGATGAAGCTGATGAGGTAATTTTTAAGCCATTAACTCCAAAGGCATGGAGCAGTTTTCTTTGGTCAAAGCACGTGCCTGGTTCTTCAATATTAACTGCTGCCTATCAAAGCTAATGAAGGATGGTCATTTAGTGCTAAGTTTTTTGCTGATACCCCATGATTCCCTGCTCTATTGTGGAAAGTGATTCAGTCACTAGCCAAGATATTCTTTGAAGGTCAATTTAAGTTGTTAGAGAGTCTAATTTCTAATATTAGTATAACTAATCTTTACCCAATTTCCTTTTCTAAGCATCCGTTTTAAAGGACACACCACACACCCCAAAAACAAAAAGGGTGAAGAAGAGCATCACCAAATACAGAGAGAAGGAGGTTCTTTTTTCCTTTTTTTTGGGGGGGAGGGGGTGGAAGGGGCATGTTATGCATTCTTGTGAAACGAATCACAGGGGAAAAAAAAACAACTGCACATAGTCAGAAAGACATGATACCGATACTTTCCCTATCTGGCAAAGTAGACAGCGGAATTCGTAAAGTTCAAACCTTAATCCAAGAACTGACACCTACAATGCTAAGCGTCACTTCATTATTACAGTAAGAAAGACGGTAACTTTTCGGACTTTGCTGGAAAAAATCACTAACCAGGTAAGCTCTGAAAGCCGACTGAATCTTAACAGCCGCCACTTCTTGCCGCCAGTCTCTGCCGCTGCTGCCCTGAGGAGTGAAGGAAACAGTTCTAGTCCCACCAGCAGACGTGCTGGCACTAGTCAGCCTGACGACCTCTGCAGCTGCCTGGGCGGCAGCAAGAGCAGCCTCGGCGACGGCGGCGGTGGCAGCCGCTACGGCTATGGCGTGTTTGTTTGCGTCCAATTCTGCATAGGGGCTGGAAGAAGGGTCGTCGTAGGACCATCTGAGGCCACCACCAGCAGCATTTAAGGCCTTGTTGTCATAATTGGAGGAAATGGAAGATTTGATGAGACCCGATTTGGAGCTGGATATGGTTTTCTTCTTATCTTTGGTTGAAGAAGATGAAGAAGGTGATGACGATTCAGGGAAGGCTGAGGAAGGGGAGTTTTTGGAGCCCAGAAGCGAACGGAGCCATCTGGAGGTTTTGCCCATGTTTCATTTTGCAGGTGGATTTCAATGGCTTCGATTAATGTGAAAGAAAGACAGCATTTTGTCGGAGGAGAGAGGAGGGAAGTTCTGGTTTTAGTTAAATTTGAGATCAGCTGAGAATTACTACAACTAATTACTGCAGATTTTATATGTACGCCAGGGTGGATCAGTGGAACCAGTGCGTGTGTGTGTTCGAGTTCAGCGCTGGCCTCATTTTCAACGCACTTCGCTGGAGCTTGGAGCATACGTGCTAAGCTTCACATTTTGAATGAGAAGCACAACGATAATTGACTGCACCTCCCAAGAATTTTAACCGTTTCCACCTTTCACTCTCTGCTCTCCAACTTCTCTAAATTTGCATCCATCTTATCCGGCGATGATTCAATTTTCGTTGATAGGTTCAGTTGATCTTTCTTCTAAAACAGGTTAAGTAGAAGTAAAAGTAAAGGGTTGATAAGGGAGGATTGACAAAAAAAAAAAAAACAAACTTATCAAAATCTGCAAGATTGGTCTACTTAGGTAGTTGAGCTTATTAGGATGCACCGCCCCCACTAACTATGGAGCTAATCTCACTTTACTTCCTTGAAGGCTTGAGCTAAAACAATACACACTTTACCCTTTCAAGACCAGTCAAACCTAAAATTTGTGAATCAATTGGCGCAAAAAAAAAAAAAAAAAAAAACTAATGAAATGACTAAATTGCCCACTATGTATGGATGAGTGGTAAAAAAAAAAAATTAATGCGCCTGAAATGCTGCTAAAAGCCACAAAATACGCCGAGTAAAAAGCTGATCAGCTCATTGCCATTTGATCATCTCTTTCACAGTCTACAAATTTTAATTTTCAACAGCAAAATTGTGCTTAATGTAGTCAAATAAAGCGTTGGAATCACATAGAATTAGGGGCCAAAGAATCTGTCACGATCTTAAAGCAGTTGCATTATTACATCTGCATGTTGCTTGAAGTACGTATACTCTGATACATTTTGTCAAATGTTTATGATGTGAAAATGGCTATATGTAGTGCTGGAAAGACCCTAATTACATGGCTGTTTTGATTTTTGATAATTTTTATATAGTTTTTGTGTGTGCTTTTTGGAATTTATCAACATTAAACCATTTACTACAGTTATAGCTATTTGGCCCATCTTTTCAGAGGCAATTTAGTCACTCAGTTGTAAGTACCCTTCATTGAATCTTAAAAGCGCTAACAACTCTTGGACCGAGTCGTAACCACCTCTACAAATCATCAAATTTTTACTGCTATTAATATTATTGGAATTGAGATTTGCTGATAAAAAAAAAAAGGGAAATGATCGGTTTCATCCTTCACATTTCACAAAAATATTCTTTTCGTCCCTCACTTTTAAAATGAAGCAATTTCATCATTGATATTTAAAAACTAAAATTATTACATCCCTGAATCCAAATTTCAATCTGAATCAAACCATCAATCAACCTGATTATAAATTTTGGGTGGTTAACTCAACTTGATATTCATGTAAAATTTAATGAACCTAAAAATAAAAAATAAAAAATTATAATATAAAAAAGAAAGATTAATCTTTTCTACGTTATCATTGTATACATTGATCGTTTTATGTACCGTCATATTATTTTAATTTTAATTTAAACACCAAAATTTATATTTATGATACACATCTAGATTCGCAAGCGGATACACTAACGGTGCATGAAAAGATTTATTAAAAAAATAAACTCTACTATTCCAAAACAAAGAATGGCCTTTTATGTTATAATTTTTATTTTTTTGGTTTAATAAATGTCATGTGAATACGATAAAGTTGACCGAATTGAAATTTATCAATTCTATTTTTGAAATTTATTACTAGGTTATTGGATGGTTTGATTCAAATTGAAAATTAGGTTCACGAATGTAATAACTTTAATTTTTAAATATCAGGGACAAATTTGTTTCATTTTAAAAATAAGGGACGAAAAGACTATTTTTACGAAATGTAAAATATGAAACAGATCATTTTTCCTAAAAATAAAAATAAAATCTAGGCAAAATTGACGGAGTAACAAAGGGATGGACTGGAGGAGGTGGCGGAGGTGGTGGTTGGAATTTGGAATTTGGGACCCGGGAGTTTAAAGCTGCGTAGCCGACGACTTTTGACGGATAATAAATAAGACACTTTGGTGACCGTGTCCTCAGTTAAACTGACCGCTGCCCACCCAAGACAACTACAGTACTTTGTTTTTGTACTTTATAATTTCGGAGCAATGATTAACCTTAAACCCAAACTTTATTCCCTCAACAAAATCTAATCCACATTACCGGCCAAATTAGTAAGGTTGGTTGTCTCCCGTGTCTTTGATTGATCGTGATCATTACTGTTCTGCCACGATTTTTTTTTTTTTTTTTATTTCCCCTTCTTGACAAAATTTAGTAGTGTTTCTTTCAAGGAATAGAGGATACTGTACACACACGCTTGAACAGCAGCACTACACAAAAGAAATAATAAAGTGATAAATGAACTAAATCTTGCGCCTATCCATGGGAGAAACTTTTATTAATTGTTTTGATTGTCATTTTTTTAAAAAAAACAAATATATGTATTTTACGAATATATTTATCAATCATTTTTTTATCTCACAGATATCAAATTATTACGATATATTTTTTTCCTATAAAGCACAAAAAAAAATAGCAATCCTAACGAGTAAAACTTTGATTTGAATATATCAAAACTTTTTGCTGTTTTTAGGCACCATGCTTTTTTGATTGAATTTGAACAAAGCCTAAAATTCTTTGGATCATCAAAGCCCACTTAAAACGAGAAGAATGTTAACAGCTCAGGTATAGAGTTCAATCAATTATTATCAAGCGTTCACAGGAAGAAATGAGTTTAATCATCAGTAGCTCCCCGCGTGGATTTGCTACTTTTAGGAGCTTTCGGGCATGATTCAAAAAATTACAACGCAACAGGTTGCGCCCAAAGAAATAAAAGAACTCATCACAGCATGGTCATTATACGTCGTCGCGGTTTCTCTGCACGAATTGTGACTCTCTGCTCTGTCACCAATTTGATTCCCCTGATCTCGTACGCTACAACAAAACAGCCAAAACTAGAGGGAAAGCTACAGATACTACTATTAGTTCATGTCACCATATCGTGGATGAGTTTAAGAGCTTCAGAAATGCTGATTGCTGCTACACCAAAGGAATGGCCCGACAACAAGAGAAACAAACCTGGAATTGAGGGCACTAAGGCTGGGACCATGGTGAACCATAACCACCCATCCTTTTGCTGGTATTGTACGTCTGGTGAACCAGATTCAAAGGGCATCACCACATATCAAATTGTCCTCTTACTACAGACAGGTATCACGTCCAAAAGAAGAAGAAAAAAAAAATCTTCCATGGTATATAATACTCGACCCTAAAATAGCAGCTAGGAAGGTTGTCAATGTTCGAGATAATGTAACATGACCAGTTAGTTACTGCTGAAGCAGCATGATTCAACCAGCTCAAGTAACAAGGACGACTGCCTTTTCTAGATTAATTACAATACATCACGTCTCCCTTCAGAGTTTAGGATGCTCTTCGCATATTTTAGCAGACAGAACTTTGCGCAGAATTGGTTGTTTATACAGCGCATGATGGTCACTTGGGTCATTCATTATCTGTGGTCCTGTCACCTGTAGCAGCAGTATCCCTTCCTAAGGGTTTCGGAAGAAAAAGCTAATAAGAGTGTCAAGAAAAAAACCCTTGATCGTGCGCAGAATTCCTCCGCTTGCATTAGAAGCCACCCTCGTCTGTCAGTAAGAGAATAAGAGTAGCATTTCCCCTTTTTCTATTTTGAAGATGAAGAATAGAATCTGCTGCTCTACAGTTCATCTTATTAGTCATTTACCAAGAAGCCATTCATGCAACACATTTTGCCTTCCCCATTTCTCATCCTCAGGGATGCTTTGGGCTTGGCCTGTGAAAGGAGAAAAAAATGTGGAAGCCCAGATGGATAATACCTGTTGTTCCCTCCACTTGTCGGTTTGTAGCCTACTCTTATTTGGGCTGTATATTAATTAAGGGGCTCAACTTACAACACATCACAGGATCTCCTGCCACATTTGAGCGTTCCCCCCTCCGTTTTGTCTCGTTTTCGAAATCAAGTATCAGACTGATATGTACGAAACAAAAACCTTCTCAGGAAACGAAAACAAAAAACGACGCTTTTTTTGCTCTTTTGTGTAGAAACAAAGAAATCGTATGGAAAAGTGACTCCTTCAGCACCCGGTAGTTAACTGGGTCCGGTTTTTTCGTTCAATCAGGATTGGATATCAGTTAATGCTCTGTCCTATTTATAGGCTAGTAGAAGATTGCCGTCAGTTTCTTGTTTTGCAGTAGCAGTACCGGTACGTTTTCTCACTCATAGAAGCTGAATTATGACGATCGGGAAGTAGCTGTCTGCTCTGCCGCCCTCCCATCCCATACTAGTGGCTCTAATTGACACCATTGGAAGATACCACCATCTACTAGTAGAGGCACAAAACAAGAAAACTGCTCCAAAAGTAGCAATTGTAGATTCAACAATTGACAAACATGAAGCAGCAGCTGAACTGACATTAGATGCACTAGTGTATTATGCCAAATTATCAAGAAAAAGCAAGTCATCGTATATATTACTGTTCGCGATCTGCCTGACTTCCATGTGTACTTGGGAAGAATACAATTGCGACTGGCCAACGAAGCCTGACAACCTAGGTTGTTGTCAGAATAGGTTTCTATTTTGTCTTAGAATATATTATTATTGCGTCACTTTGTGGTTGACTCGCGGTTGCTGTTGTTGGACAAGATCAGATGGAAGACGTTGGGTACACGACGTCGGATCACACTAAAAGTTGGAGTAATTTTTCTATGTGCGCCAGTGTTTGTAACCGAAATTGTATACTACTACTGTTATAGGATTAGAAAATAGAAATAATGGGCCCGGAAAATTTTGTAAGTTGGCTCCATCTGTTTTTAAATTTGATCAGTTCTTTATTGGTTTCATGTCACTACACTCGTCCGTCAAGTCTGACCTGCATTACATCCCACTGCCCCCAGGGTTGCAGATCAGATCAGACACAAAGCAGAAAAGATAAAATAAAGAAAGAAAGAAAGCAATAAAGTAAAAAAAAAAAAAAAAAGCGAATAATTATTGAGAGGGAGAGGACCCTGAGAGCCCTGACATTGTTCGTCCACGATACCCCACGTCCGACTCAGTTTGCTGCTGCTACAATCAAAAGCAGCCAAACATTAGAATCCTGTTAGATATATATTACCACACAAATAACTCATGAAGTAACTGATGCATTCTTCCAGTAGATTTTGGAGATCAAGAACTTAAAAATCCATTTAGTAGTAGAATTAAAGAGGCCAGGGAGATTAGTACTCACAGCAGTTGAGGACGGGGAGGTTGCACCTAGTTGGAAGACGGGAAGCAATTTGGAGAGTGTTGCAAATGCAATCCTCTTTCACTGCTTGTACTGCGTTGCAGCATTCAGCGCTTGGGGGGTTATCAGCTGGCCCTGACCCTGGCACCAAGAACGGGACGCATACATTGAGGTTTGCGAGGGTGGTTGGGCAGCTGGGTTCTTGGGATTTCACCACATGGTTTTGCAGGACGAGAGCCAGAAACAGTAAAGCCAGCATTGCAGGGGAGGACCCGAATGAAGCAACAGACTTCTTGACGGTGGCCATCGGACTGTTCAAACCTTAATTTTCTTGTTCTTAAGCTATATATTAGAACGCTTGTTCTACTTTTTGATCTTACAACTTTGCACTTCATGTATTTATATACGTACATACCCCTTGGAGCATAAATTAAGCCTGCAACTTAGGTGGTGAATTTTGCATGCACGACCTAATACGGAGGATTTGGTTATCAACGCATCCGACTTTGCTCCCAAACCTAACCAACACGGAGAAGCAGCAAATGTATATTGATTGTGGCATTCTGACGACTCATCATCAATTTACTACGCTACTATACATTAGATTAAAAACACGTTAATAAACGACGCCATAATCGAGAGAAATCCGAAGAAGCTGCAGCACATTATTGCATTTTGTAATGCCTCGGCACACGAACTTTTCGAAGAAGGGATTAGTTCTCAGCATTGACATTTTCCAATATTTTAGTTTGGGCGGCGCAGATTTCCACATTATAATCGCTCCCATTATCAAATTATTTACAAGCATTAAAAAAATTTTCTTTTTTTCTGCTTGCTGATACATTTACGCGTAACTGTTGGTTGACAGCCACCATGAATTGAGAAAAGTGTCCTGCAGAGGTTGGAAGCATTAATATTGACGAACACTCCAATGATCTTATCTACAGATTGCAGCTGCGCGCCGATGGCCTTATATTTCAAAAAAAAAAAAAAAGGGGGGGGGGGGGGGCTCAAAACCTTGCTTTTGCTTAAGATATGGCATCATTTAATTGACATTTGGGATGGTGGAAATGTGGAATCCACCAATTGCTGGGTGTTAAAAACGAGTGTGCATCGTGGACAAGTCAGTCTCTTGAGCTCTTATTTGAAAAGTAATGCTGGAGGCTGGAACTGATAGCATAATAATTTGAGATTCCATCTGGGTAAAAGATGCATGAGATGACGTGTAATTTTTTTTATCAAACTTTTGAAGTGAGGTAATTTTAGTTTATCAGACTTTTATCAGTCTCTTGAGCTCTTTAGAAGTTTGAAGACAGTTTATCAGACTTTTGAAGTCAGACCTTTGAGATGATGTGTAATTTCGAAACAAGAAAAGTTGCTTTTTTTTTTGGTGGGGTTTTCCTTCTGGGAGAAGGCAACTAGGAATCAAAGTTTGAAGAAAATTATTTGTTTAGATAGGGTATTATTTAAAATAATTACTGTAACACTTTTTATGATGTAATGTATGTGAGATAAAAAGGTGGTTGAGAATATAAAAAGGTGAGTTAGGAAATGTGTTTATGATGCAAACGAAATATTATTTGATAGCACAAATATCTCAAATAATATTTCGTTTGCATCATAAATACATTTTTCAACCCACCTTTTTATATTTTTAATTATTTTTTTATCTCACATACATCACGTCACAAAAAGTGTTACAGTAATTATTCTAAATAATATTTTAAATAATACTCTATCCAAACAAACCCATTATTATTTGAGATAATAATATGTTATCCAAACACTCCCAGATGATTGCTTTTCACGAAGCATTCATCAATAGTGCTAATTACTTCAGAAAGACAGGTCCCCATTCATTACAAGTATTGAAATCACTTTCTGAAAGCCGTTCTTTTTTACAAGATTACCAAAAGTTAAATCAATAACATATCTTCGAAAATACAACTGCTCTACGGCTGTCCCTCATAGATGATGCTACATTCTCTCAAAGAAGATTGAAAATCATTATCCTCATATTATAAAAAAATTACTGTAACGATTTGATATAAATTAGTGTAACGATTTAATATACGTAAAGTGAAAAGATAATTAAAGAATATGATTTCGGGCCATTGTAAAAATTTTTCTGCAGAAAAACTTCAATCCAAACAAAGTTAATAATAAATGAAGGCCACCAAGAACAAGGCAACTCTGCTAAACGCCAATAAATTAAGTAAAGAGCATGAAAGGACGCAAAACTTTTTAAACCGACACACAAGCAATTTGGTTTTGGAACAAGTGATCTGGGCACCCTGTGGGGTTAAGTTCCCACATCGCTTGGGGGGGTTTGGGGGGTTTAGTAGTTAAGTGCTGCGGAGCACTTCAAAAGTTGCCGGCTTTTGAAGTGTCTTCGCAGAGTCCATTTATCGAAACACTCATACAAAAAACTGTGAGTTATGAAAGGGAAAAACCTGTCTCGGGGAGTCTGGGGGGTCTTTATCTCTTAGCAGCGGGGCACCCTGTGGGGTTAAGTTCCCACATCGCTTGGGGGGGTTTGGGGGGTTTAGTAGTTAAGTGCTGCGGAGCACTTCAAAAGTTGCCGGCTTTTGAAGTGTCTTCGCAGAGTCCATTTATCGAAACACTCATACAAAAAACTGTGAGTTATGAAAGGGAACAAGTGATCTGACCGTATCTTACTATTCCAATTTTTTTATTTCATTTATTTTTGTATTCCTTCGGTAAGTTTTTGGTGACAATTTACTTCTACAAAATTTAATCAATTGCATGCCCCAATAACAATAATGTCTGGCAAATACAAACAAAACTGATATAATGGTCTATGACGTACAATCACTCTTTCCCACAATCACATTAAATTCCAAACGTCTCACTGGTTTTCAGACGTTTTTGAGACTGTGTATACAACGGCACTGTTGAGGATGATAACAAAATCAAATGCTAAAGAATCAGTAAAATTGTAACATCAAAGATTTAAGTAAGCAAAATTCCGGGAAAAATGAAGAACCAAAAAAAAAAAAAAAAAAGGGAAAGTCAGTCCCCTATGACGTTTTACTATCGTCTTGATCAGAGGAAGCTGGGGCTGTCCAGTATGATTTTACAGCAAAAAGAAGCTTCTCCCTCTCCAATGGTCCATCTTCATGATCCACAATCTGACTATCCCAATTCAGGGCATCTGCTATCCTCTTTGCTTTAACCAATATATCTACATCATCACGAATGATTAAACTTCCTTCGGGCCTTAATATTCTATCCATTTCCAGGAGAATGTCTTCCATTTCACACCTGGGTCATAAATTGGACGTCAAAAAATCAGAAAATTGTCGCGCTCATGAAAAAATTCTCAGCGTGGTCCTTGGCCGTATTAAGGTTTAATTTGCAACAATGATGCAGAGTTAGGGAACTAACCTATCCTTGTAGAGAGTCAAAACTGAATCAGCATGAATGAGATCGTAAGTTCTTGGATAAGTTGACATCGCTTCGCACCTGTACCAGAATTAATTGCAAGGAGAAAAAAAACTAATTAGGTGGAAAAGGCAGATGAATTGTATAGTCAATAAAAAATGGTGATATACCAGCTCTGGTAAGTCCCGATCAATCCTCGTTCATATATTACACCAAGCGTGTTGACCTTGGCCTCAACGGGAATTACATTCATCACCCAAACAGGATCCTCGACCAAACTTGCTGCAAATCCACCCAAGAATGCGTTCATGTCCAGTAAATTTCTGTACCTTCCAGCTTGTCCAAGTTGGTTATTAACAGTCTTATAGTATGAAATTCTCCTCTCCCAGAGTTGGGAGTCCTTCTGGAAAGTTTGTGGGGTGATCCCATTTACAGTTCCCGTGCTGATCCTAGGTGGTATTGCATTTAATCTCTTTGGCCATTTTTCCAACCGTCCACCGGCAATCTCTTCGCCATCAGAAACTTCAGGCAAAGGCGTTAAACAAGTCTCTATATTGGTGTACCTGAAAATGGGTGTCAGCATAAGAAAGGTTAGCATAATGAACAAATACGATGAATTTTTGCATTTCCAGATTCTGCTAATCATTCATCATCCTTAGAGAAACACCAACCAGGCCTTATCAGGATCTTGATTGGGGCAGAATGCAGGACTGTTATAAACCTTCTTGAGCTTTTTGCATTGCGTATGATTAGCTGGTTTTTGCCAGATAGCAATATCGTCCTTCTCGATCAACTTTTTCCAGCACAGGCTCTTAGCTACTTGCTCGATTCCAGTTTGTTCCTTGTTCAAATCCTCCCTTGTCCGCTGCCAGCCTTTCCAGTATTTTCTCCAGCGGATGGGCGGACCAGACAGGATCCAATATCCCCCGGGCCTTAGAACTCTATCAACTTCAGTTAAGAAAACCCCATCTGCCCAAGAAAAATCCCCAACAAATTAATTCCCAAAAAAACACGCTAGTCTAAAATATAAACTCGGTATCTCATGATGAACAATTGTAAATCCAATAATTCCTAATTCTTCTTGATCCTTGTGCAGAACATATAATTATCAGCTCCTGTAGCATTCGAAATTACCATATTGGCCCCAAGGAATGAGGCAGCGAGAACAATGAGCCATGTCAAAAGCCCTAGAAGGATAAGGGAGCCTCTTGGAGGCTAGAACTCCAATTAAAGCAGGAACTCCTCGCTCCAGAGCAAATTGCACCTGGGCTTCATGCGTATCCCTCGGTGCAAATGACATTGCGAGAATATTTCTGGACAAAAGATAAGCTCCCCAACTTGCAACCTAGTACATTTATATCATAACACACAAAACGTAAGACGACCGTGAATATTATCCAGATTCTGGATTTTATATATATATATTTAAACATGTAGTTATTAATTTTGATTGATTTTTTTTTTATATATTATCCCAAATAATTCAATCAACTCTTACGACAAGAACTGCAGAATGTAAATGGAAAATGGATTTTTCTTGAAGAGTTCAAGAACTGAAGAATGTGAAGACAAGCATACAATAATGCCATCATTGCCAGGTGTCTTCGAGAGTTTGTGCATGGACTTCGTATCCACAAATAGAATATCTGATTCCTTCCCGCAAGTTGAGATCTAAAAAAGCTGGTTCGGGTACCCTTACTACCCTCAATCTTTGACCCTACCCACAGTTTCTGTCTTTCTGACAGACCGACCCCCCCCCCCTCTTATTTTTATCAATCTGTTTTGCCTCGACGCATCAGACAGTCGGTGAGTTGTTAGTCCACAAGACATGACTTGCATCAGTCAATATTCTAGCCATACAAGGAAGCTACTCAATTTTGCTTTTCAAGTTCATGTACTTTGAGGGGAAA